CGGTACCATGGGGCTGGGGGACACTGGAAGTGAGCCCCCCAGGGCTGGTGGGCACAGAGCCTGCACCAGTGCACCGGGGCCAGCACTGGCAGGGCCCAGAGCAGGGTGGCAGAAGCATGGGGTCTGGATCGTCAGGGGCTCTATGGAGCTGGGCTGGCTCCTCCTCTCCCTGCTTGAGCAGCACAGCCCGGCTCCATACAGCTCCTGCCAGCCCAGACCCTGCACTCCTGGGCAGAAACTGCTGCTTGGCACAGGGGAAAGTGGCTTACCCTTGCTACTGCCAGGCAGTTTTAGCTGTGTCCACCTGAAGCCCGCACCACGGCTCCTTCATCATTGCCTCTGGGCTGTCCAGCACAGCAGCAGTGACTGTGTGGAGCAGCCACAGGGCAGCTCACAAGAGACGGTGCTGCTTGAAGGAGCAGCACCGCAGCCTACCATGGCATGGTGATAGCACATGGTCCTCCCCTGCCCCCCTTCCTCCTCATCTGTATTTCCCTTGGCACATGGAGGGAGGAACAGGCAGAGGCTTCTGGCTAGGGTTGGGGAGGAGGTGGAGAAGCCAGGCTAGACTTGCTGCCTGGGCTTAGATCTGCCATCAGCTCCCCCTGTGTCTTACTGCCCCCGACTCCTGTCATCTTTGACAGGCAGCCGGGGCAGATAAATACTAATTTTCTAATTTTTTTAGGGGCCCTGCAGGCTGGATAGAATGGCCTGGTGGGCTGCATCTGGCCCGCAGGCCATATTTTGCCCGCCCCTGGTATAATGGCATGGAGAGATCATTCTACACAACAATAGAACAAAACCTCCAAACTGAGCCGATGCATTGCTACATGAAGACTACAGTTTCTATTTTAATAAAACCTACAATTACATGGAATATTGTTTATATTTCTTGGCTCCAGAGCCAGTTCTGTTCAAACCACTTCTTGAAATAGGAGAGGAATTTGTTGAACTTTCATTTTAATTTCAAAAAGCAGCATAGCTCACCAGTGCTGGAAAAGTCCTGAGTTTCCCTGTCTTCGGATCCTTTTCAGTAAGCTGGAGTTCATCCAATGGTAATGCTGGCATTGTGATGAGTTAACCCTGTTTTTAGCAAATGCAGAAACAAAAGTAGTGTAAGATTGTGTTGAAAAAAGTAAATGAATCAAAACCAAAACAAACCAAGAGACAGCATTATGTAAGATAGACATCTATAGGCTAAAATTCACATTGTGCAAAGGAAATCCTGGCACCACCCAAATCCTGTATTTTTAGGAGACACCCAAGGCCTAGCAGCATAAGCTACAAAAAAAGCTAAGTTCCCTTTGCCTTGCAGAGTACTGTCATCTTTCCTTTCAAGACGCATCTGATTAGGAGGCCTCAAGAGTACCAAAGATGACTACTGTTGATATAATGCTTTGATGTAGATGCCTGATCTTTTTACATGATTGCTGAAATTCCTCCTAAGATCTCTTTTTGTCCAGCACTTTGTCAAGCCCTCTGGTTGATTAGTACTCCCAAAGAAATTTCATTGAGGAATGTTTTACTCTGCATAGGCCCATCATCTCAGAGAAGCTGTTATTACAGTTTGTGCAAATAAATTAAAAAGCCTTTAAGTTAAACTTAAATGGCATTTGATGAAGACAATGACATATTATTAAGCACATACTTAAACACACACAGAGAAATATAAGTAATATGTAATAAAGCTTTTGTTTATCATAAAACCATTGGAAGCCAAATAATGATGATTTATTTCATATGCAATTAAAAAGTGATGTTCAAATTAAAAATTAAGATTTTAATCCTGCAATTGTGTGCGCACTGATGGACCCTTGTCCCCAGGAAGCTCCTGAGTCGAGTGAATGAAACTTCTGCATGGTTACCAGAGTTAATCTGCTTATATCCAAATACACGGTGTCAAGGTTTGGCAATAGGAGACATCTAGCATTTTAGATAACAAACCCACTCATGAAAAAAATAAGTACTCTGCCATGACAAAGCCAGCATATAATCACTGCACAACTTGGAAAAAGAATGAATTAAGAAGTGCAAGTTCTATAAGCAATTAAAAAATAAAGAGATTCACAGCGATTAATTAAAAGTAGATATCTATGTGTTTTTCAACTTAAACCACAGCAGTGAAAAAGCGTCCAGAAAAGCACTTTTTTTCATGTGAAACAAGTGATCTTATTTGTTATCCTTTGCTACATCATCAGTTCTATGCCTGGCACTTGCAAAAAGCATTTTAAAAGCCTCCTGCAGCTGCACGCTATCACAGGAAGCAAACTCAAGAGTTTGCAGAGGTGCCGAGTGCCTCAGCCGAAGTTCAGCCCCTGCAGCGCCCACAGGCCCACCAGAGAGGGAGCCCCGAGTCACGCGCCCGGGGGCCGCTCGTGCCCGCCGCAAGGGGCTTTGCCCGGGCGCGGGGGACACGAATCCCGCTCCAAGCAGCTCCTACGAAGCGGGGAGCGGACCCCAGCAAGCGCCCCGCCCCGTCCTGCGGGCGGAGCCCGGGCGCACAGGTGCAGCCGGGGCCTCGCAGGACTGAACCACCGCCGGCCCGAGCGCCACTCACCCCCTCGGCCCCAGCGCTGACAGCGCAACGCTCCTTTTTCCCGCCCGCCGCTTCCGGGGTCACAGGGTGCT